CGTGATTTCGGCCTGTTCGAGTATAGTTTGACGGTTGCTAATAAAATTATGAAATTAATTAATGAGCAAAGAATATTTATTAGGTTAGATTATATAGTTCTATGGACTACGTAACCGGGATACGTGACTATATATATATATATATATGTAGGCCAAAAGATCGATCGCACGGAAGACAAATTACAGGTTTTTGTCCGATGCGTCAGTCGATGTGTGAGTTAGTGCCGGTCAACTGAACAATTGTGCGCATTTAATAGAACAGCAACAACAATGAGGTAACTGAAACAACAAATAATGACTTGAACATATCTGAAGAACTGGAAGACCGAACACGCAGATAAAGATAATTGATATGAGTACATCGATACGCAGTGTAAAACGTCAAATAGCTTCATCTATAAGACATCTTAAATTAGAACTATGCAAATTGTTTGGCCACTGACGGCGAAAAAAAAGGTTCCCTTGTCCTCCCTCGCTTGATGAGGCCCTGATAGCTTGAAATTTATCGTTGTAATATGCAAGTAGTTAGACGAACACAGAAGAATCATTAATAACTACTCGAAAATCGCCTGATATTTAACAAAATATATAGTAGTTATTGTTATTATTATAGGTTGTGTACACAGAGGGCCATTATTTGTGAGCATTTTATTTTTAAAACGGCAATAATATGTATAGGGTATTTGCTCCAAGGATCACCACGAGTGGATCCTTTAATTGCGGTCGCATTGCCGGACCCTTCAGACTATTGAATGATCGACAGCATTTGTTGGAAAATGGTAAATTGTATTTAGCAAGTCGTATAGAATAGTTATGTATTTTTTCTAGCCAAAAAAGGTCAGACTTGCTATTAATTTTGCTTTCCGAGAGAGAGAGAGAGAGAGAGAGAGAGAGAGAGAGAGAGAGTGAGAGAGGGGAGAGAGAGAGCGTCCGGCGCGTAAATTACTTCTATCTGCCCAAGAAATTTAGAGCCTGTTTTTGCTTAATGCGTTCTATATACATGTACGAAAGCAAAATAATAGTGATATTTCTAAATGAAGATGTCTCCGCATAAGTGCACGATTTCTGCAGAACCTTGTGGACATCGGTCGATCCTATATACTCAATGTAGAGATAAAGACACGAACTTTTTTACCTCTAAACTAACTTAATTGAACAGATTACACAATGAACCAAGTGTTTATTTTCTATATATTATTAGGCATAGTTTTGAAATTTACCCGAAGCAGCTTGGCTTTCCTATCTATATCTAATAAGATTAGTAATTAAGTAACTATAAGTATATTCAGTAATAAAGCTGATTGCGAAACGGTTCTAAACATTTATATGCTAACCATACGTACACACGCGAACATTGAACACACACACAAATTACGTTGTTTATTCACAAAAACGGACTTCAGACCTCTTAAAAAAATCTATACTAACCTATGCGAAAAAGATATAGCTCGCATGAACGCTACCACACATATGATCTAGTAACTAGTTTTTCTTCAGCCTGCCTCGGTCACGAGGGCTATCCAAATAGAACTTGAATATGACACAACGACCGGCCTAGTGCAGTTAGCGAACGTGTTACGTATCTGGAAAAGGAACAAAATGAGGTGGTGTATATGCGTCATACGATCTGACTCATTAACTCTATTTTGGTTAAGAACCTACTATTTATTGGGCAAAAACTGTGAGTCAGTCACTTAACGCGTTGAAGGAACTGGGGTCGCGTAAGAATGTTAACATTATTCCGTACACCAGGATGTTGTTGCTGGTTTGGCCGAAGCCTGGCACCCACTCACTTCAATTGGCGCACTCACTTACTTTCATTCGAATCTAGAACCTGAAATAACAAGCTGGCTCAATCAGTGTAGACACCGTTGCGTGAAGTGTTGATCACAGCGCCTTCACAAGACCACACCAGTGTCTACACGATCGCTTACAATCGCCTGTTTCCCTTCATTTTGTCCTAAACGCTTCGATTAAATCGCCGTAAAAAGGTCTGTCTTCTAACGTCAGCTTGAGAATCGATTCGGACCACGGGCTCGGCAGTAGAAGCCTACAACTTTCGAAACAGGGAGAGCTATGGATACGTGGGAGGGGGGCAATTTACAAAAAGTATTTGTGACCTATTCTGACCTGGTTACCCGTTCCCTATAGCGGCGTTTTGCTAATAGTTGTGAATATTGCTAGCGGATTCTTAGCAAATCGTCGACTGAAGCGAGAGAGTGCAGGAACGGGTGAAGGAGCAAGAGCATCATATGTATGAATTCAAGTTGAAGCCTACGAGAGAGGCACCGGCGGCCAGTGACTTCGTGAAGCTTTAGTCGTCAGCAGAGTTTCTTTTCAACAAACGAATCTGAATTCCTGGTTCGGTTTGGTTTGTTCTCACTCTTTGGCAAAGGCGCGACATTGTGACTGTCGTATTTTTAAGATTATCCTCAAGCAGTTTGGGATTTATATAGACAGAAAGGTCGTTAGCAAGGAGGTAAAGCTAAATCATATAGTCCATTATATAGTAATTCCCGTAGGAAATACTTAGGGCATTGGTCTTTATAATAGGCCATCGTACGGTTAGCGCAGTTCGCCTGTACATTTCGAGAGTTTACGTACGCGTTCAAATAACGTCGCTGCGCCATCATCGGAAAGCATCGGACGACAGCTTTGCTTGGGCCTGATTCGAGGAAATGATTCAAGAATGCGCCTACCCAATGCCGAGTTGTTGACAGTAACTCTCGCTGAAAAGACTGAACAGTCGAATTCGCTCGTAGCTGATACAGTGTCTGACTTTGTTTTTTGCCAACTTTTTCGCTCGTGTATTAAGGTTAGCTGGTCGCTAACCGCATCACAGTACCCGACGCAGTCGTTTCGTTCAACAACTACATTATATTAGCTGCTTTCTTCTCCTAAGCGGTCTCACTATACTGTTTCCTGTGCAAGATGGACGGTGGCTGCTTGGCATGATTCCCCCGCGCGCGCACGGATCACGTTCAGGAAGCCCCTATTCCGGAGTCTGTAAACCGACGACGTTCACAATAGCTTCGACAACAACGGCTGTCAAGGCAGCTCTCATCTGACATATAGACAAGCACGAAACAACAACTTCATGCCGACATATTTCGATGTGGACGCACGGTTTGTCTGGATATCGAATACATGTTCTTTCAGCCTACTTGATGAGTGTGATGCTCAAGGCTCCTCAAAGACACTTTTTCATAGAGAGCAGAGGATGTATGACGAAGTCGCCATTATCGCTCGTTGTCGCCGCATAACCATTGTTCAATGTTCCTATTCGTTGTGTGCACGCTCCGCTATGCAGGAACGAGTACGATCATGCCTGCAGCATGATACCACGACGACTTCCAACTGTGGCTCTCTAAAGTGCCTGATCCTCTCTATAGGAACTAGCCGGCTGATACTGCATATGTGTCGACCATTTTGCATCAAACAAACCAGAAAAAGCATCGAAGACGGGCGGCAGCAGCGCGTCGTACAACGATGGGAAGTGAAAAGCAAAGACGATGACAATGATGCTACTGGCGATAATGGCGAGAGAGTATCGAGATAGAATGACCCGTTTTGTTCCTTTCGAGGACGATGCCTGCGCGCCAATTGGCTTCTCGGAGCGGCGCGCTTGCTATGAGATGATCAAGCATCATATGTGGCCGTGGTGATGGCGTTGGTGACCAGGGAGGGACGTTGTGTTTTATCCGTTGCCTTCCTAATTCTTCAACTTGTGGCTGGTTGTTTTTGCGACTTTGGTTGGACGCGCGATTCGATCGCTCGGCTTTTGGCCCATCAAATTTCGCGCCAGGCGGTACAGCGAAGTGATCGTCGACTAGTGATTGATGAGTTGATCCCCCTCCAGGCGCCTGATGGGTAAGACATTTGAACTCACACGTTGCAACAGAGACATCGTTCACGCACCGGATAAAACCTCGTATAGAGAATGATTGAGAAACTCATAAATCTTAGTTAGGCTGGAACATTCTCTTATGAACGTAACGCGTTAAATGGTACATTAGATTGTTTGCCGGAGAGGAGCTTCTAGCAAGTTCACGATAGCAAATTTGTAAATGTACTACTTTCGACCGTACAGTCATTCTGTGCTAATTGCTTATATAAGTTCACGTTAAGTTAGCACGCTTGAATTTCATGTGGGGTGTGTGTAGAAGCATTCATATCGTAATCATCCAGCATCGGATCTCATTAGAACAAAAAAACGGTTCTTGTCACTTTTCCTAGCTGATAACTATCGAACATGTCGCGGTGACGTAGATTTTGTTTACAATTGTGCCATCATTAACAGCATGGCCAATCACCTCCGATTCTCTGTTCGTCGGATCTATCGGATTCTGCCATGAACACCTGTCGGGAATGTTCAGCTTCACTGATATGACGCGACATGAATCAGAGAGGAAGCAAATTTTTTAATGATTTATCGTTTGGATAAAGGCTAGCAAAGGAATGTTCCGTAATAGCGTTATATGTGCATTGGACTGATACTTTACGCCTTACCTTTTATCAACTCCGCTTGCCCTTAATGATGTTCGTTCTCGCTGGTCGTTACCTAGCTTTGGTTCCCTGCAGTCGACCCTCCTGCACCTTGTCGCTGCTCGATTGAAACACAATTGATATTCGTTGGCTCTCGATACATAGATAAACTGACAAAAGACGGCTAAAAAACAGAATCACTTCTTTCAGGATAGATTGTCACCATTATTGTGACTGGCTGGGATGGGTTGTGTCTCCGCCGCAAAATGAAAGTCGGGATTAGCTACCGCAAATCCACCATCTCTGTTTAATTGACAAATTACATCTGATTGTAGAAGTTCGCCTTTGGCTTGTCAAAGGAAGTCATTGTTGCTCGATAACCACTTCTATTTTACTTTTTGCAATGATTGTATTGTTGGGGCTTAGCTATTCAGTAGGTATAACACCTTTTTAGTATTTGACCGTCCGTTGATTGTGTGTTTGAGGGTTGCCGATCGTAGCGACGACATCGGCAATTGAACAAAGTAGTGCGACGAGAAGGCGTCTGTCTTTGGCTATGGCCAATTTGCCAGCGAATGCTCGAATGCTAAAGAACAACGGAACCACATTATACTAGCGTCCTGTGCGGGTCTCTCGTCGTCCAGGACCAAGTCACTGCCGGCCGTGAGCCTGATTTTGTTGCGGACAAAGAAAAAGGCACAGCCGCACCGGCAGGCTCGTGTGTTTGGCGAGCAAACACCACGTCTGGATGTCACAATGATGCCTTTCTTCTGTATGTGAAGAAATTTTGCAGTTTTCCTTAAACTACTATTAGCACCATTGCTACAAATCTAGCTAATGAAGCAGGCCAGTGAAAAAATGCCTCGCTCGTCTAGTTTCGTATGCCCCAAGCCTCGCCGCTATCCCAAGAAGCAGATGACACGAAATCGATGTTAACAGACGTGTTAGTCAACAGATTTAACGGGGCTGCGCATTTATCGTATGCGTCAGGTTTAAGAAAGGATAAAAGAAAACATTCTTTTATGGAATAAATGCAAGCTGAAACAATAGGACCAGATTCAGGCTAATTTATTCTTTGAACTGTTACGATGTTCTTCTCGGTGCGATATAGGACAACTGTCGGTAGACGTATGCGACCTATTACACATGTATTTGACAATGTGTCACGTTCCTAAATATGCTAGCGAACGAAAAAGAAGCTAAGTACTGACACAGGTGTAGTCGATAGGACCAAGCGCAACATTACAATCATACGATTCCTAGGGTGACATCTGGGACGCTCACCCCATAGCATGTTCAAAGCACAAAGTAGACAATAACGAAGCACACCCTTAGTCAACCGCAAAGCGACGAGACGTGTTTGAGCTTGTTCTCAGCTACCTACTACGACCTACCGATGCCTATCTGAGAAATTAACGTGTAAAATTTGTCTAATAACCCTTATAGGATGTGAAGCTAGGCACGTCCTGAAATCCCTGATCTTTTTTCGCTTACGTAGGGCACGGCCTGAAATGGAACACAGTTCCACGTATGCGTCTGCACCAGTTGGTACGAATTCTGCTATAGCTATTTGTCGTAATCAGCTCATTGCTTAACTGTTCGTAAACACTAGTGTTCGATCACTGCGTCACCGACTTCGCGCAGCGGGTAACACCATTGTGTGTGCGCATTGTTGCAAGCTATAGAGCCCATATCCCCCGAGGAGGTTTTCGGGCAGTGAGTGTTGCACTTCGCGGCCTACAAAGGATAGTAGCGGCGATGGGTATTGAACGGGTGCCGGCACACGACATCGCCCGCGTCAAGCGAATCGGCGAAAAAAAGCAGCAGCAGCAGCAATAACAATAACAGCCGCAGTGGAGATTTCCTCGATGGCCAGTTGAAGTCTGGTTACTGCCGAGTAGGTCTGGTGTATAATGCACAGGCATATCGAAGTGGGCGGTCCATGCGACCCTAATTTATGTATGTCACAGCTTGAAGGCACCTCTTATGATTTTTTTCGGTGCTTACAAATCTATCTTATTACATGCAATTTAGAAAAAGTGTAGGATAGATAAATATGCTATGGCACTAACAATGTAAGCTAGATTAATTGGTTGTGTTACTGCTGACGCCAGAGGCTATTGATGGTACCAGTCATAATGTGAAACGTTGAAAACATAGTAAGCTGCCTTACAAGGGGCTTTAATCAACTTGACCTGTAGGATCAACTGATGTTGAATGTCGGTTAAAGGCTTGCGTAAACAGTTTAATCGACAAGTCGACGCTCCGACCCTCGGGTATAATTCGATTGTTAAAAATTCTATACGGCAAAGCAAAGGTATTGCAATTACATCATCAATGACCACTTGGGAAAAAAATATGTGGCATTAGGCAGCGCGTGTGATCTGATTCAGGACCACCGTCAGTGATCGGAATCCGGACGCGCAAGTTGAGGGTATCAGAACGCCAGCATGTTCGAGCGTTGCAACAGGCTCTGCTAAACCAGCGAGCATTTTTTTTACTTGCAATAAACAACATTTGATGCTTTGGATCGATGAGAAGAATAAAGAGGGTCAATACACACAAGACGTTTATGTAACTATCACTTCCGCGGTCCTAAGTAGCTTGTTACGCTATCCTGTTTAGACGTGTAAGCCTGACGTATCGCTCAGATGACTCAATTAGGATAACTCAATCCATCGTTAGCTATAAAATCATCATAAAAAAAGTTGTGTATTTGGTGTACTCGCTAAAAAATGGTGCGTAAGTTTGTTTATGCTTTTCCTTTTTATGCACTTCTTAATAGAACTTTGCATCTATTTATATTAAGGTTCAACATTTGTTTGCTCCGCGTAGGCGTCCGCATAGATGCTTCGAATCTTTCAGTTCTTTGCCGTAGGCGATTTGTGTTTCTGTTAACTTTCGCTGCTAACCATTGTTGTTAGCATTTCTGCTATTTGCGTCGTGGGCGTGGACGGTCTCTACCGACCCGGATTTGCCGCACCCGTGTTCATCAAGAAAGAACGAGTACTTCGTGTTGTCCGGCGCCGTCGAACAGATCGGCCACCTTAAATTTTCTATTGATCGTTAATTCGAACTTGAGTAGTTACAGAAACAGGTTACGACTAAATTTGTGGATGCTGTTGTAGCCTTCTGGTAGACAACGGAACGATTCAAATGATTAGAATTGTTTATCTGAGAATATATGAAATCGAGATGGTTGTAGTACCAATAATCAGTAGTAGAAACAGTGTTTATAGAATTGGTTTATCAATTTGATCACCCCCGTTAATGGGTTTGTCATAGCACATCTGCCTGTCCCTAACAGCTCGATCCTCCACGACTGATATGAAAGGAATAAGCAATTGATTACGCCGTTTACCATCAACTTGCTATAATGTTGTGTTTTTTTTAGAAAAAAACTCAGGAATTATCCCATAACCTGAACGATATAATGTAAGACTAGTTATTCTTTTGCGGTGAAACGTGAATGTAATTTAAGATACATACAATGATGTTATATACACGGTCGATATGCATATACCATTGGTTTCTCTGTATATGTGTTTCAATATAATCAAGCAGTATGCGTGTCTGTGCGCAGATTTACTATGTTTAGGATACCAATAACTTGATACAGGGATCGCATCATTTGGCCATATCGCCGTACAGACTAGTGACAAGCGTGTGCGATTTTCAGGAAAGACTGATGCGTCGGTAGCCATCGTCGGTATCCCCGTTCAACGACGGAACGAGCCACGTGCTCAAAAATAGGTTAGCCGCTGAAGCAGTAGCAGTAACAAAACCTGCAACAGCTGCCGCAGCAATGGCATCAGTGACGCCTGACGTGTCGTGGTGAGTGGCAGCAAGGATCTATATATAACTGTCGCTACTGGTAACACCCAGAACACCCGCGTCTGCACCTGAGCAAGGGTGCTACGAAACCATGGTCTGACAGTAAAATTTAGAATGAACCCAACGAACGACAGCATCATCATTCAATATTGTCGCTAGCCAATACTAAGCGTTTTCCTGTCTATATACGTTTTATCGTTACAACCGACAGGCGTTCTCGTGCTACTACGTTTTCTGTCTCGAGCGCCCTGGTCATCTCCGATGCCAGCTAGAGAAGGGAACACATCGTGACTCGGGACCACGACAAGCCTTTTCGTCTTCGATATGGTCATGAGGCTCGGCCAGACTTCATCTCGTCGTCGAACTCATCCCCTTCCCCTCCGGGGTTGACGACTTCAGATCCTTCGTCATCAGTCGGGGCCCGCTTCAGAGTACCCCGTTGTCCGCAGAATGCAACCAGTCCAGTAGCAGCGGCTTCCGCAGCAGCAGGAGCGGCATTGGAGCACCGAAATGAAGGCGGCGTCGGCGGTTGACGCCGGCAACATTCTCCGCCAGAAGCAGCAGCGCAAGGATGAGTGAGGTGTGCATGCTGCTCCAGCTGCTGCTGCTGCTGCTGCTGCTACTTCTGATCGGTCGTATTCGCTGCGACGCTGGCGGTTGAAGTCACCGCTCGCAGCTCCTGTGGCCATTACTGGTACTTCCGAGGCAGCGAATGAACAGAATGAGCTGGCTCGGAACTCAATGAGAATCGGCTGGTTGATTCGCTGTTGGTGGAAGAAAACGCTGCTGATCCTTGACCCCTGGACCTTTTTCTTCAACCGACAGAAGTAGTAGTCGTCATAGTAGTGCTAGCAGCAAACAACCCCCGCGATGAGGCACGATGATCGTCGATGTGTACGTTAGCGGCAATAACGATAGCAACGGCAATAGCCACAAGCCTTCAGACATGCTGGTTTGTTCAATTGGCTTGTCCAACAAGACAGAACGACTGACTAAAGCAGACCACCAGTAGAACGCCAGTATGGAATGAAATGGTCTATAAGCGATGTCTGTCGTAGCATAGACAACTGCCGATGAGAAACAACGCCAGCCAGCGAGACAATCAGCAAGTCAGCCAAGCAATTGCCGTCGCCAATAGCTCTTGGTCATCTTTTTCTTCTTTTACCACCAAAGCTATGCCTGAACTCCAATCTGTTACCTTTCCCTTTATTTCTTCCCGCGCTCCTTACCGTCTCCTTGATTCGGCTCCACGTCGCTGCCGAAGCCACTCCCCCACCGATAAACGGCAACCGACGATTACGCTCGTTCGAGATACAAGTAATGATACCGAGCGGATACGACGGAATCGAGGACTTCAAACTGAACTTCTCAATCTATCCACTCGTTACCCTGTGGATGGCTGAAATAACTGTAATAGCGCAGGGTACAGATCTTCGTAAACGAACCGTTGAGAAAAAAAAAAAGATAACATAGCAACATGTACGGATCTTTTTGAGCTGCTTCGATAATTCCTTCATAAAACACTTCCATATATATTGGGTATATTTCATTCCCATATATTTCGATTCTGATCGCGAAGAAATAATCTGTGTACCAGCCTTCATCTAATTACATTAAAGTGATATACAATGTTGTATTTGTGCTATTTTTGCTGCTGCAATTCACATACGTTTTCAAGTTACCTTTATAGATCCCTCCTAATTAGATTTAACATAATCTACCAAGTTCTATAGATTTCAATTAATTTTTTTAAGTAAAATGTAATATTAATAAAGCTTATCTTTTCATAATCAAACAACTACATTCTTCACTATTGACAACTGGTTGGGGTTCGTCAAGAAAAATTACGTCTCATGCGTGTTGCTACGCGCCCCCCTTGTACTAACGTTTGTTTTCTTTGATGTCAAAGGCTCTGGCGTGTGCGTCCGTGCCAAAATTCGTTCTGCCTTGGGTCAGCGCGTAACACATTTCAATTGTTCGAGAAAAGTCAATTTCGCATATACGACACGTTAAACGATATAAATATATGAGGGGGGTTGGGGTTCACTCGTAATTGCCTCGTACAGCTAAGCCAGTAATGGCTTAATCTTAAACAAATTGTAAATAGGAACAAGCTTGAGTTTGAAAGATTTGTGCGTTGATGAGGTCTGATTTATATTTAGCATAAGGAAAATTAGCCGCTGACAAAAACCTTCACAATGGTACACCCACCTACTATCTCAATCATCCGTGTTTATTGAATTTTAATTTTTAATATATAGATCTTTATAGCATATGTCAAATGGCTTGCCTTACTTACTCCACCCGATCTTTTTTTAGGCCTTTTTTAGCTCATCGAGTCATAAATAAAGTAGCTTTTTTCAGACGCAGTGAACGAGATGAAAGTCGTAGCGTAGCATTTTCAGCTACGACATATAATGCTTCGTCTCAAAAGTGATACCGCCTTCTTATTGGCATTATTATTAGTACTAATATTGTAGAAACGTACTTTCGACTACGGCTCTGGGTAAGGCCATAAAAAGTCTCTGCACTGAATGAACGAGAGTATGAAAGAACCGCCTACCATTCAGAGGTGACCAGAACAATACATATATATATATATGAATCACTATAGTGATTGTCGAAATATGTTTTCATTGTATAACTGAGTAACGTGAAGAATACCTCACGTATCGGCCATGCGACGCGCGACGATGTCCATGTCGTATGGGGCTGTAGAGTTCATCTCTGACAGGGGAACTGATAGATGATTAGACTAGAACAAGCTGGAGACAGTTTGCCTTAGCTTCTTCTCTCTCACTCATTCTTTCATCATTTTTTTTTGCTTTTGCTGAGCGTCTTTGGCGGCTGGTGCTTCGATGCACCGACAAATGAACGGTGGTTGGATAATATGCTAGTAATGGTCTAACACAACGAACTTTTTGCGACGGCGGTCAGGTTCGCGCAGGCCAGGTCAGATCGAGTCGCCTCGAAGTCAGCCTCCATACGCGTGGCGCGTCCCTATTCTTACCTTTCTACTTCATCCCGTCCACTCCTTCGTCCTCCTTCTCTGAAAAAGAGGACTAGTTCGTGCTACCCAGTGTATCAGTCGCGTTGGTCGGTCGGTCGGTCGGCAGGCAGGCGATGCTTCGTCTATTTGTCGAGCGAGTGTTGCCCATCGGTTGCCGATAAGAAACGCGCGCCCGCGCGAACCATAGAGGGGAAAATGAACGTTTTCCCACTACAAGCTGTTTCTCCTATTATAGCTATAGAGGCTGCTGCTGCTGCTGCAGCAGCAGCAGGTTCGCTTGTTTTCTGATGGCCTGGTGCCACGGCCTTCTGTACGAGCCTCCGTCCGAGTTTCTTGATGCTTCCTGCCGATGCTGTTCCAACTTGCGAGTCGAGCAAGCCGCTTCCGACCGTTGTCGTTCGTTTATTCGACCGCCCGCCCGCCTAGGAGATTGGACGGCGTCACGCGATGTCCCGGACCTCAGCCAAGAGCTGCTTATTTCTTGCCGCGGCCGTATACACTGGTGCTGCTGCTGCGGCGGTCTCGCCGTTCAATGTACTTGTCTCAACTGAGGCGTCTTCGCATCCCGATCAAGCTACCCACCTACTTCGAAATCCTTAATCTGCAACGATGCTTCTGCGCCGATCATCGGACGAAAAGTTGCCTCCGGTGCCTAGAAGTTCCTGCTGTAAGGGTAGCGTCTTGCCCAATAAGCACGTATATTCCTTTCTTTCGGCAGTACAAAAGGCTGTTGTAAGGAACAACGAACAAAAAAACCTTTAAACTTTTTATTGGTATTTATATGTATGATATGTACATTAAGCAATACTTTATTTAAGTGTAAAAGACACAGCAGATGCTCACATAGGTTGGACTAGTTTTAGGAAATTATGCATTCACGTACTTATGATATGATGGCACATAAACTAAAGCTTATGAACGACATGATGGTTTGTTATTTAAGGCTATACAGTGAATCTCAATAGCCAATGCACCGTTAGTTCTACCCCAAAGTTGAGTCGTTCCCTTCGATAACAGAGCATAATGGCATATCGCAGACACCGAAAAGGCAAAATGAACACAATATGGAACATTTCTTTAATGTTGTTATCAGTGGTTTCTCAAATGTCTCTTTTGTGCTCAGTCGTCGGTAACTATTCTACAAGTGACCTCTGAAATCATTGTCTTTCTGCGTACTCTTGAAGAAAGGGGTGCGAATCTTTTATTTGGACGGTGACGCTGTGATGTTGGAACGAGGCCTCAGAGACATGGGCTGCACATTGCCTTTTCGTTATCTCGTTGGCCGCTCGTGCCCTTTACTCTGTATCTTTTTCCATCAACGAACATATCAACCCGGGGTCACTCAACAGCCGTATCGGCGGTCTCAAACACTTCACGCGAAACGAAGTATACCCCGCCTCTAGAAACGGCCAAACACTTCTTCTCGCAGCTTCTTCTGATCTTCTCTAACGGTCTCGTCTACACTATCTCTATGCGCAGCCCGCTCCTGACCTCAATGTTACGCTTTAGTTTACCGCTTACTTGGCCCGGTTCGAGTTCATCGATGACCCTGCCGATACACCGACCTGCCAATGAAGTCGCCTCCCTAACCACCATTCATAGGGTAAAGTGAGTTTCTTGCTTGCGTTTTCTCTATGTTATTTCATGGTATGCCTCTATCGGGCCTTGACTCTCCGTTAGCTTCTTGTTCCGAAAGAACCCAAACGGACGCACGAGGCCTGGGTTAAAAGGGAGCGTACTGAGCAAAAAGAGGAGGTGCCCACAGTGAGAAAGAAGCCACAGATAGCAGATAAGTGAAGTGAGTATCCTGATTACCTCCTGGCACGCAACATTCACCAGGAGACTCGCGTACGCACTTACTCCACTGTTGGAGCTAAGCTTTGGTGACTTGAAGAGCCTTTTTGGCTTTGAACACGGCCGCCGGTATGAGGACTATATGTTTTTCTATTCGTGTTAGCTCAAAAGGATGATCGTTTGCCAAAAACGCCGGCAAACGAGTGGTGATGGCAAGGGCCTGAACGATGAGACGGGTAGGCGTCTAGGCTCTGCTAGATCATTCTACCACTATCACCAGCACGACTACTACACGTGTGTATGCGACGTCGACGACCTACTGCAGTAAAAACTAGGGAGAAGTATCGTCCCTACTACTAGCAACTATCAGAACAGATATTAACCTTTTTCAAGCAGATTCCTAGTCTACTTTATTCTCTCTGCACGCAGGACTAGCAACGGTAGTGTCAATACCCCTGATCCTCACCTGCTGAAGGCTCTTGGTCAGCAATAAAAGTGTTCGTTTTTTCGCCTCAATTAGCGAAGTTCTGATATGGTAAATGGCCGCTGAAGCCTTATAGAAGTTCTCATCTATGAACTTATGACATACTAATACTCTAGATAATAATCATGGCATGTCTGAAATAGAATAGTTGATGAATTGATGCAGAAATTGGTAGTCCCCATGAATACAATGAAGCTATAAAGTGAAGCTTAGAAGATCCTTTAGACTGTCCAAACCTGCAAGCAATAAGTTTACTTTTGTTCGAGTCCTTTCCAAGAACATAGTTTACAGGAAATCGAATTATCAAGGAAAGGTATCATTGACATGGTACTCGAATCCGAAACACTTTGAAAAACAATCGAGTAATAAGTTAAATTATTGGCTATCTCGTTCATTTTCTCCTTAAATACTTTTTCGTCATCAACTTGCTTGAACAGTTCAACAGGTTTCTTTGGACAGTAGTGGGTCCTGGTAACGCGATACAATTTTTTGATAGTCCGTCCCGTGTCTCATCAAATCAGTGACTCTTCTACTTAGCTAGCTAGCTAGCAGGGGTCATTCGCCGAGGACTCTTCGAGTATATCGTCGCCGACCGTTAGCTTTTACCACCTAGACTGTTGCTGTAGTTCTCACTAGTCGAAGACCTGTAGGGCCTACTTGGCCGAGTCGTTATAGCCGCATGACTACAAGTTAACCTAGCGTTCAACTTGGCGACCTACACAGATTCTCTATTACGTCCAGCGCCTATTCGCCAGTGCTTGGCGAGAGCTTAGCTTCTGCTGTGCATTGACGGATCTCCAACTCCGCCGAGGAGGGTATCTCTCGTCTTTTTATGAATTTGTTCCTGCATTTGACGACTCCACCCAAGACCCGACCGAGCACCGAGCACGATGCACCCACAGCCAGCAAACCCGCCGACCATCACACAAAGACGGGCCAGCGAACGAATGATGGCACATGCTTCATGAGCACACATATCATCGCCATGGCGTTATAATACACCAATATCCTCGCATATACACAGAGTTTGATGTGGAGTTCCTCGCCAAGTTTGCCATCAATGCATATACTCGGCCTTCTCGGCTGAGACGAGGCTAAATGAATATACACCCTGTCGCACAATATCCAAATACGTGTACACATGCGCATCGAGGAAAGGGCCGAAACAAGACTTA